TAGTTCTTCTTTAACCCCAGTTTGTTTCATTTCATCCTGGATGTTCCTGAACGCCTCGTTTTAAAGCCAGACCATCAGATAGCTCAACTAAACAGCTGCTCCCTTACTGCTCCAGCAGGAGGAGCAGCTCCTCCCTAACTGCTCCAGCAGGAGGAGCAGCAGATGCTCCCTAACTGCTCCAGCAGGAGGAGCAGCTTCTCCCTAACTGCTCCAGCAGGAGGAGCAGCAGCCGCTCCCTAACTGCTCCAGCAGGAGGAGCAGCAGCCGCTCCCTAACTGCTCCAGCAGGAGGAGCAGCAGTGACTGCAGCAGATTCCATCATACTTCATGAGAATCATTGCATTTGCTTAAAGTGGAATGGTTATCTACGTTATCTACATCTGCGCTATGATCCTGTCTCCATCACTGCTGACCTTCCAGCACCATGGACAGAGACGGACAGTTTTGGGATGGTTCTATGATCCATGGATCTACGCCTCCTCAGTCCATCAGCTGCCCAGTTTGGCTTTGCTTGGAAATTACTGGCTGATAATCGGCTTCTTAATGAGATTCCAGTTAATTGTTCATCTATGAATAAATGAAATAAATAGTTTAATTGCTTCATAAACGGCCGTCTGCAGCGCAAACTGCTCAGTCGACACTCTGCATGGGGAGACATTCACTTTATTGACTTTACAGAGAAAATTAGATCAAATTAGAAATATATTTATAGAAAAAACCTTAAACTAACCATAGAAAAAAAAATCTGTTTCCAGATCGAAAAGGTTTAATTAAGAAAAGGCTAAAACTGTCAGTTAATCAGGCATGGAGGTTTAAAACCTTCATCTTGTATATTCTAGTGGTGAGCAAACAACTTAATGCTACATTACTGCCTCCTGCTGGTAAGGAGGTGTAACTGAATTATGATGTTTACAAATAAATAAATATAAATATGTATATATAAATGATAACATGAATGAATAAATAAATCAATGATAACATAAATAAGTCCTCTTTAATAAGCCATTATTCAAAACAAACAGCAATATGAATTAATAGGTTTTCAAATTCCAACTGAAGATGATCAACCGGTTGGTCGACCAGGCAGTTAAAGGCTACAGCTTCTATTCATTCATTCATTCATCTATGATCTCTTTCTGATCATAAAAGTTTTCCTTTCCAAAGTCTCCAGTTTGAGCAAATCTCCTCCATGCCTGATATATGCTTGCAGCGACAGTGGAGAGGAAAAACTCCCTTTGAACAGAAGGGAAAACGTAGATAACTTTGCTCCAGTTCTAACAACCTGTGAGATTTCCAGCCAATATTTCAGGACTAATGGACAAAAAACCGAAACTCAGACATAAAAATCCAACTTTGGTTTTTTTTAACTCAGGATTCTGACCTTTGGCCTTTCTGATTCTTCTTCTAATGACACACCGGAACGTTTCCTCCAGATGGAGCAACAAACTGCTTCCTTAAACTCATCTGGTGTCGCTAAATCAATAAAATGTGCTTTTATAATAGAAAACTCCAGATAGAAGCTGTTCTGTTGTAGATGCTTGGAACGTGGTATTTAGTACGGTGGGACCTATAGGACTCAGATGTTTGCAGAGAGAGGAAGTACAGCTTCTGTTGTCTCTGGATCTATTATTCTTCCCCTGAACAAATAGAAAAGATCAAACAGAGACTTTAATCAAGTGTATGATAATAAATGCTGATATAAAATGTTTTTATTTGTTTAACATAATTCTGCAAATATTAATTTGATTGTTTTTATATAGAATTTCACAATAAATTAGAATATGCAAAATTACATAATTAAATGTTCCATAAGATATTTAGAAAATACATTTAAAACGATGTATTAAATAACTAAATATTCAGATTTAAGTATTTCTATGTATTTTATTCTGCAGTCTGTTTTACGATTAAAATATTCAGGATGAAATAAACTTTCCTCTCTTCTTCGGTGGTATCACCTGCTGTGAAGGAATTAGCCCAATTAGCCGTTGAAGCTAAAGCTGTCCAGTTAGCAGCAGCAGCTCCTCTTACCCTCTCACGGGGCCCAGGTGGGCTGTCAGGGGCCCCCAGCGGGTTCCCTATTCAGGCTGCTGAAGCGCCGCCTGACTGCAAACCTCTGACATGTTCTGTCATCAGGAGGCGTGTCTTTCTCTGGACAGTGAAGTGTCCATTCTCAGGTGGACCCGGTTCTCGCGCAGCATTCAGGTGTTCTGTCTCTCTGCAGGTGTGTGCGGATCACTGACACGGGGCTGGGTTACCTGTCCACCATGTCGTCCTTGAGAAGCCTTTATCTGCGCTGGTGCTGTCAGGTAAAGTCGCCCATTCAGGTCATTTCATCATAAAACCAGTCGCTGCTGTTCTCAAGAAGATATTAAGGGAAAATATTGGAGTTCAGGAAACCGCCTTTGTTTTATAATTAATTATAATTCTTTAATATAAAAGTTTATTCACCATGAAAGCTTCAGTTTGTTTATGAGTCATAAAGTAAAGAAGAAACGAAAAATCGCCTCATTCTGCCGATTTCAGCAGTGAAAGCAGAAAACTTGAAATGTGTTTAACTTCTTGGAACTTTACCCCATTTGGTCCAAACGGACTTTGACTAGGCCGGAATTATCTCGGACTTTGACTAGGCCAGAATTATCTTGGACTTTGACTAGGCCAGACTTAACTCTGACTTTGACTTGGCAGGAATTATCTCGGACTTTACCTAGGCCGGAACTATCTCGGACTTTGACTAGGCCAGAATTATCTTGGACTTTGACTAGGCCAGACTTAACTCTGACTTTGACTTGGCAGGAATTA